GAAAGTACTCATAAATTATTATTATTATTATTATTATTATTATTATTATTATTATTATCATCATCATTATCATTATCATTTCTTTCTCTCTCATTGCTATGAGTCAGCTCCCTCATAGCTGACCCTCCTTTGTGTTTCCAAGGCTGTGAATCCCACCAAAGGAGACTACCTACATTCTACTAATACATTGTAAGGAGGCTGTAAGAAGACATAAATCTTCCTTATTATCTGCAAGTCTATCTGAATAATTTAAATAGTGTTAATTATGCCTAAACTGAAGCTAACTTGAAAATTATATTAAAAGCCTCAAAGTAGACAATATATTGTCTACAGAAATGAAACATTCTATTTTTTAAAAATAGAGAAATCATTAATAAAAACATCCATTTTTTATAACAAATATAAATTTACCCAACTACCCAACAGGTAAAAAAAATATGAACACAAGACAGATAAATTTAAATAGACCGAGCCAAAAGAATAAGTGTTTTGTAGAAAGTACTTTATCATCAGAACAGTATGATTTCTTATGTTTACAATCTATTTATTGTTATTTTTACAAGTAGTAAAGTCCTTTCATTTTTGTCCCTCAACTGAATATACATGAATATAAAAAGCTATTGATGTCCACACTGCCCTCCCCACCCCAGTCAAAGGTTGTGGCCTATGAAGAGTCTCCTGAAGCAGCGACGCTTTCTCTTTAACTTGGCCTTGAATCCTAATCAATCATCCTCTTGCTGATTTCTTTTCTGTCAAAGGAAAGTAAGAGTACATTAAAATAGTACTTTAAAACTGGGATGACAGCTTGGTCAAGATATCTTTCTGCCAGCTAGTGTCATTTTCTAAAGATCATAGCAAAGGATATGGTATGCAGTAATTCATTAAACTAGTTTATGATTTTGGCTCTTGGCAAGTTGCCTTCAGGTATTTGAATCTTTCTTCCCCTTTTGGCACATGTACATACACATCTCTTGCATCCATCCATATAAGAAACACAAAAGGCATCTCATCTTAGTAAAAATACAGATGCTTTCTTTTTTTTTTATGTTACCCCATTCACGATACAAAGCAAGCACAAGGCCTGAGTTGAGGTGTATATGGGGTATTTCACTCTGCCTCCTTTATCTATACAGTCAGTGCAAGAACACAGCCTATGGTAAGCATATGAAGGCCTACCTGCTTTCTTAAAAATGAGAACTGCTATGAAAATTATTCAAAAACTATATACATCATAAACGTTTAATTCATTCTAATCAAGATCATTCCTTGAGCTAAAAAAAAATACTGTAACTCACTGTAACATCATTTAACTAAGTCATTTTGTTCAGTTCACAATTCTAAAATAAAAATGTAATTATTAGAAATTCAATCTAAAAGCACATGGCTGACATACTACAAAACAAAACCACAAATATATCTTACCAGTTTAAGAAAATCTATTAGCTTGTAAGCATCTTCACCAGTAGAAAGGTCTACAAAATCCTTAGGTAATCGATAACTCAGGTAAGGACTGGGCTGGACTGTAACTTCACTGTTTGTGCAACGAAATGCTGGAGAATCCTTGCAAACGAACAAAACAGAAGTATCCACTGTGAGTAATGGTTTGGAGAGGGGTCTACCCTTCAATCTTCAAAGGAACTTAGCAAAACAATTTCAAGATTTTAAGATCATTCCATATATTCACTAGAAAATGGGATTCTAAAAACAGTATCCATATGACCCTAGGATTAGGATGCAATTAGGCCAAGAGCAGAACTTCCCAACCCCTAAAAGCTACCAGTAAGCAGCCACGGTGTGCCACAAATGAACAGTAGATCATTTTACCCCTGGGAAGGTCGCCAGAGGCCTAAATGTAATCATCTTGGCCACAGGAAATCTAACACAGGTTGCAGTACCTGGTTAGAAAGTACAGCCCAAGAGAATGAAATTAACAGTGAAGGTAAATATGTGTTTTGAATTTCATTAATACTTTAGAACTGTTCAGTCATTTAACTTATTGATCTGTTTATCTGCCTCATTACCTATGCAAATTCAAGTACTGTTATCTAAAAAATTTTTACATTCTTTAATGAATTTGCATAGTCTTGCATATGACAGCAACATTTTAAAATACTGGGTCAAGGAGAGCTCTGGTGGCCTAGTGGCAAGAAGCTGCACTGCAGTCCCAGGGGTGAGCAGTTTGAATCCACCAGATGCTCTGCTGAAGAAGGAGGGACAATCTTCTCCTGTACCAGTCAGATCTGATTTAACAGTACACACATACACAAAAAAATAATTTTAAAGAACAAAATACTGGGTTAAAAAAATATTTTATTTAGCTAATTATACCTGCCCAGTTACATATATTAACAAGCAGAGGCAGAATACATTACTTGGGTTTGAGCTTTAGCAGTGGCTGGTATGTAGGTCAGGGGTGTCTAGCAGAGACTAAGACCCTAGAATCTTAGAGAACAGGTCACGTCTTACAAAAGGACAAACATTTGACAAATATTTATTAAATATATACTTTGTGCTGCACCTTGTTCCAAGTACTGGAGATAAAATTTCTGGTAAACAATATTGGTAGACAGATACTAAACCATGAAACAGATTAGCATGATCATTTGCAGGTAGTGTTATAAAACAAAGTAGAAGGAGGACATAGTAAGAGGATAACCATGCAGACTACTGGGGGGCTGTTCAGGTATGACCGCACTAAGGATGACATCTGGAAGCAGACCTGAATACTGAAAGTAGCCTAGCAAGGCTTTGGGAGCAGGACACAATCTTGGTGGTAGTGGACACGATCACAATCAGTGAAAAGATCTTAAGGGAAGGTAGGGTTTTGGAGCCTTAAGGAACGGAGGCACAGCAGTTGTCACTGGAGAGGGAAAAGAAGGCAAGAGCCAGTTCCTGTTCTTTTGTCATTTCTCACTCAACCACCAGTATCATTTTGTTTAAAAGAACAACAAATCTGGATTATAAAATTAATCTTGTGCAAACAGTTTGTATCTGATAAATGATAACTTCATATTTAAAAGTAACAACAATATTGAAATAATTTACATTCTTCTTAATCTCCAAGATTTAATGGCCCACCACCATAATAAGAAGCCAGCAGAGGCACAGTCCCTTCATTCATTGATTTTAATTGTTTCTGGCATTGTGCTAAGCTCTGGAGATACAGAGAGAACAAGAGATTTATTATCCTTGTCTTCACAAGCTTACTGTCTCTTGTAGAACATAGGGAAGTCAACAGACTCGTAGAAGACAGTATGGCAAGTGACGTGTAGGGTAAAGAAAGATTTTCAATCTAGAAGAAAAAGGCAAAATAACAACCAGGACAGAATAACTATAAAAAGACACAGACAAAAGAAAAGATGCTTACAATGAAGGTAGAAAAGCAGGCAGAAAATCAGAACAATATGTATTACAAAACCCAAGAGAAGAAGCATGACAAAAATAAAGAGGGTGAGACATTTTAAAAGACTGCCATGTGGTCAAAGGACAAGTACTGTGCACTGTGCACTGAAATGTATGTGGAGTTCTTGATGACCCTGCTAACAGCCATTTCTCTGGAATGGTTGGGATAAAAGGTAGCTGGTGGGTAAGTGAGAACCACCAGGCAATAAGACTGATTGGCCATGTAAGGAAACTGCCTGTGAGGATATCAACTACTGAGTGGCTTAAAAAAAAAAGTGTGATGACTAAAATAAGTATGATTACACTTATGTAAAAGTGTGTGTGTGAAGTATATGGAAAAATATTAAGTAAATTTAAGGATGGTTATTTCTAGATGGTAGGATTTCATATTCTGCCTCTACATAGTATTTTTTCTTTCCAATGATCATAAAAAAAAGAAAACTTTTAAAAGATATAAAATGTCCACTAACCATCATTACCCACATCCAGTTTCACTCATCTGATTATGAGGGAAGACAAGTTATGTCAACATGGACAACAACTGACTACTAAGAACGCTGTGGTCTCTCTCTTACACAGAGGGTTATCTGACAGCCACAAGTCGGTCATCACTGCTATGCTACTCTGTTTTCTTCTATTTAACCATTTTTCAGGATAGAAGGAGAATTGATGCCTTTGAGCTGTGGTGCTGGAGAAGAGTGTTGAAAGTACCATGGACTGCCAAGAAAACAAACAGATTCATCCTGGAGAGGGTTAAACCGGGCTAATCCTTGAAGGCAAGGATTCTGGGGCTTCGTCTGACATACTTTGGACATGTTGTAAGGAGAAACAGGTCCTTGGAGAGGGACATCATGCTTGGTAGGGTGGAGGGACAGCGCAGGAGGGGAAGACCCTCTATGAGGTGGATTGATTCAGTGACTGGGGTAATCGGGATGGGTGTGTCAGAGGCAGTGCGACTGGCACAGGACAGAGCAGGGTTTAGGGCCGTTGTACATAGGGTCGCTATGAGTCACAAGCGACTCGACGGCACATAACAACCACCACCATTTTTCATTCTCTTATTTGTACATTCCAGTTATTCTCTGTAGTTGTAATTTGTTGTTGTAATTTAAAAAGCTTAAAAATTCAAGTATTGGGGGGGACGTGTTTATAACATTAAGTGAAACTCTCAGGAAACATAGGGTATAAGTAATCTTATTCATTTAAAAAGGTTAATGTATGTGTATGTGAATGTTATATACCAAAATATAAACAGGGTCCCCAAAGTGGTAGGATTATGGGTGAAATTATAACAATTTTCTTTTAGAATGAGCATGTATGAATTTTTTTTAAAGACTCCCTCCCTCCCACCTTCCCTCCCTTCTTTCTCTCTCTGTCTCTTTCTTTCTCTACCCCTCTCTCTTTTTCTTTCTTTCTACCATCAAATAGGATCTGACTTGTACAGGAGGAGATTGCCCCTCCTTCTCCAGCAAAGAATCTGGTGGATTCGAACTACATATCTCTGGGATTGAAGTACAGCTTCTTGCCACTAGGCTCCCAGGGCATCTATGAATTTTAAAGCCAGAAAACAATACAAAGTTGTTGTTTAGGGAAACTTTGGTTGTGAAGATGAGAAAGTTGGTGACTGAAAACATAAGATTAAAGATTTGGGGGTTTATGCTGCAATCCTGAGGGCACGTAGTTCAAATCCACCAGATGATCTGCAGGATAAGGAAGGGCAATCTCCACCTGAGCCAGTGGAATCTGACTTGATGGTACACAACCAGAGAAATCTAAGAAGAAAAAAAAGGATCTGAGGTATTTTTTAAGATGGAGCTATCTGAATATTAACACAGTTAAATACCAATAGGTAGTTGGAAGAAACTGAGAAACTAGGGAAGAAAATGTGAGCACAAAGTATCTGAAGAGATGGAAGGAAACAGTCTGCTGCGTACAGAGATGAGATTTAGGAAGAAGAAAGCAGATATATACATAGATATGATGACAATCTGAATGAATTCTTATTAACAGATTCTCTTTTCCTTATGAAGAAGAAAGTTAAATCATCTGCTGACAGGAAAGAATGATGAATTAGACGGTTTGAGGAAAGTGGAGAAGTAGAATACACTGTAGATGATGAAAGACAGTACTGACTAGGGAAACTCAACACAGTACTAAAGGCCCACTTGAAAACAGAGGCTGTGGATGTGAAAACCATCAACAAGTGCACCTAGGCAATTTATTCTGTCAGCGTCTGGCAGTCTGAGATGAGGACTAGAACAGACATCGGGCTTGACGCAGAGTCTAGATTTTTCTTGATGACAGATGGAGTCACAAAACAGAAAAACTATCAGATGAACATTTCTATTAACAAGGCTAGCTGAATGAACAAAATGTATATTCTTCTTTGATCATCTCCAGAGGCAAGAAACTATCAGTAAATAGTTTACTATAATATATTACGTACCTCCCAAAGGTATAGATCACTGTCTATCCAAGTGTCTAAATTAAAAACAAGCACTATTCAATGAATTTCACATATTTCCTTTATATCTGTTTTTGGTAAATGTCTCACCTGTTCCAGAACATCTCCTTCACTGAGATCGGCTTTCAAGTTTCTTCCAGATGTCAGTTCTTCCCAAGTAAACAGTAGAGAATCTGTTACTTCACCAAATGGATTAAAATCAATTAGCCATGCCTTCCCCTGCAGTATTGGGTGTAGGGGAAATTAAGTCAAAATTACAAATACTTAAAGAAGGGGGGGAAAAAATCACTCTTATCTAAAAGATAATTCTTTATATCACTATCTCCAAAAGAAAATCTTAAAAATCTTATTTCAGAAGATATTTTTCCAGGTTCTATCTGAGAATGAGACACCTGCGTAGACAAAATAGCCACAGATCTAATGTGAAAGTGACCTGTGAAAGCAGAAAAGAAGCTGAGAAGGAAAAGTCTCTCGGTAAAAAAATACAAGTGAGAATGGGAAAACTCATAAAAATGTTCACCCAAGAGAGTTAAGACTGAAAGCAGCTCTGGTGACGCAGTGGTTAAGTGCTCTGCTGCTAGTGGAAATGTTTACACTGAACTGAGCTGCTCTTTAAGGGAACAATATGGCAGTCTCTGTCTTTAGGATTGCAGCCTTGGAAACTCTCTGAGGCAGTTTTACTCTGTCATACAGGGCAGCTGGGAGTTAAAACCACCTCAACTGAAGCAGGGATGGCAAAAAGAAGAAAATACTCAGACAGGACAGATTTCAAGAGTGCCTTCAATATACTCTCCCAAACAGAGGCTGGGATGATGATGAGCCGTGAAGAAGTGAGCACCACATCTTACCTCCAAAAGACTGCTCTGAAGAGTGGACTTTAAAAAAAAATTCTAAAAACAAAACAATAAGATGCTTAAACTTTCTTTTGAATTTTAATATTATATTTTATTTGCTGATATGGTATAGCTTGATAGCCTATGAAAATTTAAAATAACTAGAAATCTTTGAAAGAAATGACTGTACTTTCCTATTCTCAGAGCACTGCTGGACTGTTAAGAGTCTAGCCTCAGGTCAGACTGCACACATTTGACAGCAGGTGCACTTTAATGTAAACAGACTTAGCATCAAGTAAACAAAACTGAGGAATTTCTTTCTGCCAAGAAATTAAAAACAACATCTTTGATCAAAAGGTATTTAGTTGTACGTATTTATTACTTTTACCAAAAATATCTAGTATGGGTTCTCACCTGAGTCAAAGAGAAAAATTAAGAGGGGGAAAAAAAATACCTAATTAGAGTTTGTTTCAAACTTCACTCTCTCTCACTGCCATGGAGTGAAATGATTCAGAGCTGCCCCTCCACAGGGTTTCCAGGGCTGTTCATCACACGGGAAAAGCAGGCAACCTTTCGGCTGGAGAGCTGCTGCTGGATTTACACTGCCAGACAGATAAGATCTTTGGGCAGCAGTGCAACTCCCTACAGACTACACTACCAGTTCATAAGAGGCAAAGAACCATTCAAGAAAATTTTTGGCCATATCCATGTGGGTAAGGTTCTCATTTTATACATTTCCTAAGAGAAATTCTACAAATAGCTCCTGTCACTGGTGTTGTTTCCTCACATCAATTCAGCATCCACTTCTACATTCTTTGATTATGTGAAATAATACCAGTCATCAATCAAGTTCTTGTTACAGTGCCAGTTCTGTTTTCTGGTATATTGCTGAGACATACTGTATGCTGTTTTTTTAAGGAAAAAAATAGCTATTTTCTAACCAACAAGCCCTTTCTAATTGATTTTCTGTAACTAGTAAAATCATTCCATCATTTTTAAAAAAATCCTACCTGTTATTATAGAAATATTGAGCTTTTTAAATTAAAAATAAGCCACACTGCAAAAAACAACTGAAAACAAATCATCACTCATAGATCTAAGAGCTGGCAGCTTATTTTATAGTTTAGAATCCATCCCCTAGTTGAAAGCAGAAGAAACTAGCTATAATCAGGCACAAGACTATAAAGGTTAGGTTTTTATAGCTACAACATTTTTTATGTGAAACCTCAGACACAAGACTTCCTAGGAATTTTTGGTCTTAAGCAATCTATCAAACAGCCAGACTAACTCTTCTTATACCCACCATCTGTCTATCTACTCAAACAAGTGAAATAAAAAGGAAAGAATACAGTATCTCTCCTTTCAAAAAGTTTAACTAGACCAAAACACACACACACACACACACACACACACACACACACACACACACTCTCCAAGAAACAAAAGAAAAAAATATGCAACAATCAACGTTTTAAGAAAGCAGGAATAGACTACATTGAAGTATATGGAAAAGAACTGAACTAAAATCTGCATAGTGAGGCAAAGAAAAGCTTCCCAAAGTAATTAGATGATAAAGATTAATAGTCAGACATAATAATCTGAAAGGGATGGATGCAGGAAAGAAGAGTAGACCATTTCAGGGGAAACAAAAAACAATAAAAATCACATGAAAGAGTCATGAGATGATGGCTCATTCTACGAAAACAGGTTATTTTGACTAAAATTTAAAATATATGAGGAATCCAGGATTATGGAATCCTGCAGTTGTTCCACAAGAGAAAGGTGAGGCATTCTGCTTCTGTGAAGATTTACAGCCTTGGGAACCCTAAGAGACAGTTTTACTCTATAAAACAATGTTAGAATTCAACTCAACAGCCATAGGTTTTTAAAGGTAATCTTAAATAAACAGTAAAAGATTGGAGTATTAACAAAAAGCTGACAGCTCAAAGGCCCGAAGAGGATTAATATACTCAATGTAAAGAGAACAAAAGTTTTCCTGAGCCACATATTCAGGGTAGTGTACTAGGTTTACTCACTCACTGATTTGTTCCTACCTGTCTCCAAGCCATTTCTCTATTTACCTCTGTTGTGTGGGTCCCTGACTGCTGCTTGAAGGTAAATTCTCAAAGACTAGACCATTACCTTGTCAGAAATTTCATGTTAGAAACACTGCATCTAATGTCACAGTTCTCAATTCTGGCTGCATGTGTGGTATCAGATTAGTACTAGAAAGAACACTGTGCAATTACTGTGCAGGTGACTAGTCATTCTATCATACTGGCTTTCCCATTCTTTTTCTAAGATTTGGTTCCACACAGGTGAAACTTGGCAAGCAACATCCTTTCTAAATTTATAGCCCAACTTTTCTAACTTTTAACAGACACTGTTATCCTTGAAGACCAAGAAATGAAAATACACTTAAGTTATGTCGTTTAATTTGACAGTCAACAGTTAAAGTTATTCTGGAATTTAACAATATAGGCCATTATCTATTTGTCTAAAAATTATTCAAAAGTATCATATGTATCACTACAATGAGGCGTATATGAGCACTAGATTCTGCAGATGTATGGGAAATATGTTTTGAAAATATGTCTGCCATCTTCTCAATTAAATTATTGAGTGTTAAGGGAGCTCTGGTGGCCTAGTGGCAAGATGCTGCACTGCAAGCCCAGAGGTATGCGGTTCAAATCCACCAGATGCTCTGCTGGAGAAGGAGGGGGCAATCTCCCGTACCAGTCAGATCTGATTTGACGGTACACATAAAAATAATACAATAAAAATTTAAAAAAAAATTATTGAGTGTTAATCACAGGACAACACTGAATATCTAAGATATCTTTAAAAAGAATGCATTATCTTAACAGTGATATTTCTGTAGATTTCTTAATTTAAAAAGTTTTCATTACAGAAATTTTAATCACTTTTAAGATTTAAAGAAGAAACTATTATAATCTTAAAAATAAAAGGGATTAAAATCATGCTAAGAATATTTTGTTGTTGTTAAGTGCTGTCGAGTCACAGGCAACTCATAGCAACCCTAAAGAATATTCTAGTTGACTAAAAATTTCTAAATTTTAAATGACAAGTTCATGGTCACATTTAAGTGTATGAAAGGAATTATTTTAAATAGACGTCTGACAAAAAAATAAAGTAGGACATAAGGTAGTGACTGAGTCACCTGCTAAATTAATCCCTGAATTTATGACAAGGGATCTCAGGTGGCCTAGTCTGTAGGGAGTTATGCTGATAACCCAAAGGTCAATCCTTTCTGGCAGTTTGAATTCACCTGTGGCTCCGTGGGAGAAAGGTGAGCAATCTCCTCTTAGGTAATTCACAGCTTGGGAAACTGATGGAAGGTCAACAATGAGTTTGTTAAAATTTAACAGCAATAAGGTGAATTGAGCTGAATTTTGTGATCTCATTTTAAGGACTAAGGTGCACATGATCCAAGCCATGGCATTTTCAAGTGCCTCATACATAAGTAAAAGTTGGACAGTGAACAAGGAAGATCTGAGAAGAATGGATGCCTTTTATTGTGGTGTTGGCAAAGAATGCCATAGACTGCCAAAAGAACGAACAAACGTATCTTGAAAGAAGTGCTACCAGAGTGCTCCACAGAATTGAGGATGGTGAATTTTCTCTCTTATTATCAAGAGAAGTCAATCCCTGGAGAAAAGTGTCATGTTTGGTAAAGGAGAGAATCAAAAAGAAATAAAACAACCTTCACAAAGATGTAATGACATAGGAGCAACAATCAAGGATTTAAGGAGGGAAGGAGTGGGAGCTGAGGGATAAAGATAGGCAGAGGTGAAATCATAAGGTTCCACAATTTGGTGAGTGGAGGGAGGGAGTTGAAGAAATGAGAAAGATCTGTCAGGGATCTGAAAACATAGGGTAATGATGGGCATAGTCCAATGATAATTAATTTTATAAAACATAATACATGGGAAGGACTTTAAGAAACACAATGTATACGAACTTTGTAAGCAAACCAATGTAAAAGAAAAATTTTAAAAAATTAAAGAAATGGGCTTAAGCACAGCAGAATTTATGAGGATGGCATTAGAATCGGCAGGGTCCCATTATGTTGTACACAGGGTCACCATGAGTCAGAGCCAATTTAGTGACACCTAACAACAAACTGTGACACATAAATTGACCAGACATCACCACATGATGTCATACAGTGTGACATTAAGACTATCATGTATGAGAAAAGCAAAAGGCCATTAAAAGTAAAGAAAAAAAAGACAAAAATGGATGTGAAAAGAGACAGTGAAACTTTAAGGTATTAACCGAAATCCAATGTCCCTGGGTCGATTATGACTCATGAGACCCTCTATGAGGTTTCTAAGGCCATAAATTATGGGAGGAGATTGTTGAGCAAAAAATGAATCTGAAACACTGACCTTTCCAACAAATACTACATTACATCACCAGAGCTCTGATTTGCTTCTTTAAAAAATCCACTGCCACCTTGTTGGCATTAACTCATTGTGACTCCATACATTAGAAATTAGAAGTGATCCATAGAATTGTTTTGGCTGTAATCTTTACAGAAGCAGATGTCAGGACTTTCCTATGGTAGTGCTAAGTGGGTTCAAATCACCAACCCTTAGCTTATTAGCGGAAGGCAAACCATTTATGCCACTCGGGAACCTGTATTTCTCCTTGTTTATTTTAACATGAGATTCTTGGCCATTGTGAAGTATTTATGAGTTTCAAGCACGTTAGTTTGAGGAAATATTTTGAGCAACAGGATCTTCACACACATACTGGCATTCTACTTATGTGTAAGATCAGTCAAGATTTTAAAGCATATCAAGCATGTCTTTTACTTACCCTACTGTCTCGATATATATCAAATACAACTGTAAAAAAGCAAAACCTCCAAATTAATTACAAAGAAACACAATTTAAACAAATGAACTATTTCATAGTCTAAGTCTCCTTTGAAAAAGGCATTTTAAAAAATGCATTCTATTATAAGTATATTAAACATTTCATAAAACAATTGATCTTCAAGCATGAAACGGCATCTTGTGATACTTTTTTTATATGATCTTACTTTTCTCTAACCCCAATCAATCCTTAGAGGCAAGGATGGTGAAACATTGTCTCACATTATTTGAGCCTGTTTATTAGGAGGGGCCACTCCTTCCATACTGGGAAAAAAAGGAACAGAGAGGAAGACCCCAACAAGATGGACTGACACAGTGACTAACAGCAGAGTCGAGCATGGCAGAGACTGTGAAGGTGGTGCAGGACAGCAGGGTTCAGAGCTGTTGCTCACAGGGTCGTTCTGAGTTGTAGTCAACTCGATGGCAACTAACAATGATAAAAATTCAAAACAAACACTAACAGCTTATCAACCATTTCACGGTTTATCATTTAGCTTCACAGAAATGAAAGCAGCTGTGAGTAAGGAACAGACTAGTGAAAGGAGCATAAATCACTTAACTACTTGTTGGAGAATGACATGAATAAAATTTGTGGTAAGAAAGCATAAAATCTAGCTATGCTTACAGTGTAATTAATCTCTTTAAATTGAGTCTACTTTAGAACCCAGCTTTGGCAAATAGAGAAAATGTACATAATAATAGATATAATATTAAGATATATGAAGGCTCTATATGAATACCATGTTTCAATTTCTCAAAACAAATTATAAATGTTTACCTTATACTTTGTCCTGTCTGATCAAATAAAGCAGCTATTTGAGGTAGATCAGTTGACTAGCTAATTTAATCATAATAATTGAAGCACATGACTATCTGTAAATAGACTCTTTGAATATAAAACATCTGAAATAACAGAAAACTGTCTCAATATTTAAAAAAGACCTCAAGTTAAATTAAGTAATACAGACCATCAGCAATACCAAATAGGCTATAGTTAAAATAGTGAATGTGCTTAGACACAATATGGAAAAACAATGTATACAAACTTTGTAAGTAAACCATTATAAAATAAAAATTTTATTTAAAAAAATTGGTCATTGTTAAATATGATTCAGTAACATTATGTATTTCACCAGATCAATAAAAAAATACTCACAGTCTTCATCTAAGAATTTGTATTGTATGTATTTCTTGAAAAAATCCTGTATGCACCTGCAAATTTCTTCCTTTTGTTTGGAAATATGATCATAGTATTGTGTGTAGTCCCTCTGAGAAATACCTAGCAAGGAAATTATGTTTTTAGTATACATTATTCTTTTCAAAAACACCAAAAATGTGATTTAAACCTTTGTTGTTATTTTGAGAGAAAATTAAAGTAGATTACACCAACCAAAGAACATGGCATTATAAAAAAAAAAACATGGCATTATAAATTACTTACAATTTCACACAGATAGAAAGCGTATTAGTTTTAAAGCTTATTAGTCATTCATATGGATGCATGACACACAAGTTTCACATTATCATGCATTCTTACTTTTGGAAATATTATTTACTCTTATTTAATGCAATGGAAAGAACAAAGAGGCATAAAAATAGTTATGTAAAAATAAAAGCAGCAGTTTTAAATAGACACATATAATCAACTGTAGCTATTCTGACTTTTCCAAAGACTTCTCTCACCCAACTGGTATTCTCTTCTACTTTCTTTGTAATATTTTAAAACATTCTTTGCCATATATCTTCCATATTCACACTGTATTTCATAGAAGCCCTCTTTTCTTAATAATGTAATTTTTTTGTTCATACTTGCTACTCTGCCTTCTTACGTCTGATCATCAAGCCATGGAAAAGTAAACTTTCTAGAGTGACATGCTGATATAGAATAATCCTAGTGAATTATTCTAAGAACTCCCTCAATTTGCTCTAATTCTAGGAAAAGGGTTTGTGCTCTGAAAAGATAGGTTTCCATTTCTTCAATCACATGTTAATATAAACTCTTTAACTGTATGTAATTAGATTACATTCTTTTTTCTCCCTAGGAATATATAACAATATAAGAAATTCAAGAATTTCAAGTACCTTTTCACTGGTTAACACCACAATCAACAGACAGTGACCTTCAGGCAAAAGAACATCTTACTTAAAAACATCAAGCTGCCTCCCTATGGTACAGGACTCAAGAAACTACATCAGATAGAAGAAAATCCTGAAACCCTAGCATCAAATGAAAGGAACAAAATCAAATACTGATGGACAATGACTGAAAATCAAGATGAAGTAAGAGAGGACCTGCATCTGAGAGCTAGACAATGAGTAAGTATGACAGAAGAGGAAATTATGCCTTTGAGCTGTGGTGTTCGAGAAGAGTGCTGAACACCCTATGGACGGCCAAAAGAACAAACAAATATGTCTTGGAGAGGGTGCAACAAGAAGTGCTCTTTGGAGGCAAAGAATATGAGGCTTCACCTCACACACTTCAGAAATGTTGCTAAGGGGATATTCCCTGGAGAGGGACATGCTGCTCAGAAAGGTAGAGGGCCAGCAAAGGAGAGGAAAACTCTTGACCAAGTGGACTGGCAAGTTGACTACCACAATGGGCTCTAGTGTTTCTAGAAGTGTGAAGATGGCACAGGATTGGACAGGGTTCAGATCCACTGTTCATAAGGTTATGTGAGTCATATTCGACTCAACGGCACCTAACAACAAAATAAACACTGTATTGATGGTAGTACCTGCAAAAATCCCAAACAGGAGCAGGTATATCTCAGAAAGCCTAATCAGGAATGACGAAGACCATGGCTTTCATCTACAGAGTTCAGATAGAGAATACTACTTCCTGTGAAAACGGATTATAGTCTCAGGATCTTTAATAACATCACAAAGACATCACAAAGAACCAGTATCAGCTGGTTAGAACAGGCACCTAATGTTAAAACACATTAATACCCTTTCCCTAATTTTGTCTTATCGTTTACTTTTAAGAGGGTAAAACCCAAAAACTCACCAATAAGCTTGTTTTCCTTGACAAAACATCGAAACTCAGCTCCAGGAATCAATTCACACCATTTTCGAAGAACAAGCTGTTGAAAGAATATAACACCACTATGTAATAATGGAGTAAGTACTGGCCTAACAGGCAATTTTATGCCAACACTGTGTCTGACAACTACCATTTTTAAATAGTTCTGGATTTTGTTCAGAGTTTTTCCCCCCTAAGAAAACATTCTTGACAGAATTGAGGAAGAGAGTTATGAACTACTATCTAATCAACAAAGATAAATTGCTAAAATGTTTTGGAAAACCTATCTTTGTTATTTATCATTTTGAGAGTTTTTATGTAATACACAACACCAAGGAAAACGTGGGCAAATCTTATCATATAAATAACACAAAGTGACCTGTATTTATATGTTCTTTACTCCTTTAATAATATAAAAACAGAAAAATAAAAGTTATCTGAGAAATATTCTCACTCACTGTGATAAGTTATTGGTGATAAAAAAATCATAATAACCCTCTCATGATTTTATTATTTTCAAGTAAATCAATAGCCTAAATCACAAATGCAACTGTTTTTTAATAAGTAATGCTCATATACTGTTGAAAAGCTGCAATTTTGTAAACAAACAGCACATTTAACAAATGTTTCCGTTTCCTTTCTGAAAAATCATGGTGGTATAGTATGTAAGGTGTTGCTAACCACTAGCGGCATCTCTGACAGTTCAAATCCATCAGCTACTCTGTGGAGGAAGATGAGTAATCTCCTCCCATTGTGATATATAGTCTCAGAGACCCACTGGAAAATTGCTATTAGTCAGAACCCATTCAATCACAATGATCTTGAGTTAACAGTTGGAGGAAATCAGTACTGTTCTTTTAAACTACTAATTAACAATAAATTGCTAGCATCTCTACCTTTTCTTATATGAGCATATCCCTCTTTACCCATCAAGATTTGTGAGATTAAAAAAAAAAAAAAGACTTGTGAGGTAGACTTTGAATTACTACTCTTCCCTGGATCCTCACAAAAGACTCAATGTTTTTTCTGTGTTTTCCAAGTTTAATGTACATAACTTTCTACAGGAAGTCCAATAATGTACAACATAAGCTTTTCTTCTCTACTAAATAAAAAGTTGGCTGAGAGTGAGGAACTAGTGTTCAGCTTTGTGTTCCCATCACAAAAACATAATCCATCCCACTGTCCTTGAGTTATTTCAATCTCATGACAACCTGCCATTGGTTACTGAGGTTGTAAGTCTTTCCAGTAGGAGATTGTTTTACCTTCCTGTACTAAAGCAGCTGGTAGACACAAACTGCCAAACTTTTGATTAGAAGCTTAATATTCTTTATTCGCTACAGACATTTTTTTCTGTTACGGAAAGGCATTAGGTCTTTTGTTCATTGAGTCGCTATGTGTCATGCTTGACTGGATGGCAATCAACCACAACAACATGTACCATCGAGTCAGCTATGTGTCATGGCAATCAACCACAACAACATGGTCAGAACTGACTCACAGATGACCATCGAGTGGGTCTTCAGAGGCAGTAAACGGCATGGGAGCCAACTACTTGTCTTTCTCTCTAAAGAGTACTTGGTGGATTTGAACCAGGTGCCTCGGGTAGGGAGTGCAGCTCCTCATCCAATAGGCCACCATAACTCACAGACATAACAGGGGCTTAAGAAATGTTCATCAACTCAAACAATAAAAATATTAAGTCATCATTCAAACTGAAGTTATTAAAAAAATATAATCTGGGAAAACCATATTATGCTCTAAGTGAAAACAGCTTGAAAATGGTACACAAGTGTTTTTATCAAGAACATATGTAAACATACACCAATCTCAAAAAAATGAAGTTAAAGATTAATCTGTTAACCCTGAGGATATACCTTGGTGGAAGATTTCCTTTTATTTCTCCTGATTTCTTGTTTTTGTAAATGGTTGGCTATAAGTAAAAACTGACAGATGAGTGATGGATGGTTGCACTTCAGGTGCACCGGCCATAAGCAACAAATTGCAACATAGTAACATTAATTTATTTTAATGTTCAAATTTCTTTACTAAAATAAGGCTCCGAATAGGCAATACATGCACTGGTTAATTAAAAGAATTACAAAAGAGAAGAAAGTATTTCTCCTTTCCACCTAATGTCACCTCTCCAGAAGAAACCAGTGCTACCAGAGAGAGAGAGAGAGAGAGAGAGAGAGAGAGAGAGTGTGTGTGTGTGTGTACTTTTAAAACTATGAAAATATGGTATAAAAATTGGAGGTTGTTATGTTTAAGTTCTTTTAAATTTTCACAAAGCTGTTTTTTTACTATTCATTTATTCTTACTTCTGACAATTATTTGCAAAACAAATGAAAACTATAAAAATTAAAAAGGTCCACTGAACCTAAGTGACAATTATATATAGATACACACACACACATATTATATTCTATAATTCATGATACACACAGATATACACACTCTTCATTTATCAACATGGCTAAGTTTCAAATATCTGATCATTTATGTGAAATCAGAATTATGGAAAAATAGAGTATGATTACATATGCTCACAAAATGGAAGATGACTACATCATTCCATAACTGCCAAACCACTGAGAATTATGATACAGCCAATCTTAGCCATCTTATCTCATCTTATACCCTCATTACTTCCAAATGTACCTCATTAGTGTGGAAAATTGCTGACTGTTAGTATTGTTATAAATGGAATATAGAAACAGTCTATAAGTGAAGATTAAGTATGTTTTATGTATATTACTTCATAATTTAAGACTCAATAGCTCAAGGTCTCAAAGAAATTAATCTAAGCAAGCTCTGGTTGCCTAGTGGCAAGAAGCTGCACAGCAATCCCAAAGGTGCGCACTTTGAATCCACCAGATGCTCTGTTGGAGAAGGTGGGACAATCTTCTCCTGTACCAGTCAGATCTGATTGACAATACACACACAAAAAACAATAATAATTTTTAAAAAGTCTTAAAAAAAAGAAATTAATCTAAAATATTTGTTTCACTTAATATTAATTCCTGAAGAACAGTGTGTAACACAATATATATGAACTTTGTATGCAAACCAATATAAAATTAAATTTTTTTAAAAATAGAAACTCCTAATATGGTTTCACCTAAAATCATCAACTTCATCAAAATATGAGAAAAAAAAACATTTCTTACCTCATATTGCATACAAGGATCTGGGGAATCATCAGTACAATGAATAAATCTTTGGAATATATGGGGATAAAAAAAAAGGGAAGTAAAATCTTTTTGTACATTGGTGTCAATCAGTGCATACATACTACAAATATTTTAACATAGGCATAACATTTTAATAAAATGCATCCAAAAATAAGTGACATTAATTTAAACTCAATGACTATTAAGAATTATTCTATGTCAGGTATTTTCCTAAGTACTCTGAACTGTTCTCTCATTTTTAATCCTCAAAACAACAATGAAGATGCTATTATAATCTCCATGTTCTGACAAAAGGCAAAGAAATCAAGACATAAAAAGAAAACCAACCTCAGAGATGAAGCTAAGACTATAGCTTAAATTGTCTAAATCCTGATTCTAAACAAAGACTTCCATGTGACACATTCTCATTGTGTCCATTGTTACAGCTGTGCCCAAAGTCAGCTTTTCTGTAAGATTAACTCTGCTATCTAAAACTACTCAAAGTTAATACTTTTTTACATGCCATTTAAAATGTAAATAATAAAGATCAAGTCAGTCCTCTATTAAGTATACTGCTTGCCCCTCTAAAAACTCTGTTTTGTTAACAATTTTTATTAGCATTTATTAAATGCCTACTGCATGCTAACTGCTGCTCTGGACCCTGGGAATGCAAAAATGACTGAAGAATCTCTTGTTCATTAGAAGCATAGTTTGGTAGGGAAAGTCTACTAAGTTCAGAAGGGATTTCACCACACTAGGGGAAAAACAAGGAGCTCTGGTGGCGGTGGCTTAGTGGTAAGGAATCACACTGCCAACACAAAGGTACATGGTTTGAATTCATCAGCTGCTCCACAAGAGAAAGATGGGCAATCAACTCCCAAGTGATCTACTACCTCTTGAAAACCCCCTGGAGGGTCAGTTCCACTTTAAATGTAAACAATAACAACAAAAGAATAGAAAGTATTCTAATGCACAGAGGAAGAATTGGTAAGATTTTGTTTTGTGTGTCAATTCATACTATGTACACGCAGAAGAAAAATAACAATCAAGAAGGTTTCATTCATCAGAAAGAGGAGGAGTGTGTATGTAAGAGAAAGGGCAACATGGTAAGGCAGGGATGGAGGTCAGGCATGCCACACTATGGTCAGAGAATGGAAATTATGAGCAAAGAAACCCCAACACACCAAATTTGCTATTGTTGAGTCCATTTTTATTCATGACAATCCTCTATCTGAAGGTATAAATACTTATAAAAGATGGTCTATCATTTGTTCATGAGTGGTTGTGGATTCCAACTTCCAACCCTTCAGTTGGTAGTCTAATGTAGCACACTACATCATCAGAGTTCCTCATAAGCAAGGAGAAAGTATCCAAATCGTGAAGTGTCTTACTTGCCTTGCTACAGAGATTGCATTCATCTTATAAACAAAAAAGAGTTTCTAAGAAACTTTTTAAAAGCAATTCCACTACTGGGAATACACCCCAAAGAGACCATAACTGACATCCAAGCAGATATATGCACACCCATGTTTATCGCGGCTTTGTTCACAGTAGCAAGGAGTTGGAAACAACCTAAGTGCCCATCAACAAACGAATGGATAGAGAAGCTGTGGTATATTCATACAATGGAATACTATGCTGCATTGAAAAACAAGGAACTCATGAAATATTACTCAAAATGGGTGACCCTGGAGGACATTATGCTGAGTGAAATATCTTAGTCACAAAAGGACAAATACTCCATGATGCCACTGTTGTAAAACAGGACTGACATCGGGATTGGGAGGAGACTGAGAAAGATGGGTTCAATAATGTGTACTGCACTGAAACAGATGAGGCAGAAAACTGTTTAAGAGGGATATGTGATTAGGTATTTTTGTCATGATGGGAGTCCAGAGCGAAGGCTATATAGTGGAGTGGACCTGAGGGGAGGGTTTGTAAAACAATGTAAGAATTTTTCTTTTACTCTTCCAAGAGGGGGAGGGTTTGTAAAACAATGTAAGAATTTTTCTTTTACTTTTCCAAGAGGGGAGTGTACTAGGGGGAGGGTTGGGAGGGGAAAAAAGTGCAACAATGAAGGAATGGAAATCCAAAGTCTCTGTAAAATTTTCATTGAAATTAATAATAATTTTTTTTAAAAAAACATTCTAAAAATGTGATCTCTAGTGGCCTAGTGGTAATGAGGTGCACTGCAAACCCAAAGGCAGTCTGAATCCACCAGCTGCTCCTTGGGAAAAGACAGACAATCTCCTCCTATCCAATTCAAGGCCTCTGAAAGCCCACTGGAGGGTCAAATATGAGTTAGTTCCAACTTGACAGCATGCAACAACAAAGATGTGAGGGACAAAATGACATTTAAGCTTTAACAATCTCACTGTGGCAATGTATGATGACTAGAAGGGGCAAATAATAGGCAGAGTGCCTAAGAAGACTGTTCTAATAGTTCCAGATAAAGGCAAAAGGAGTGGAGAAGGAGATATATAAACTATTTAGAAGGCAGTCAATATTGCCAACTTTGTAACTAACTGAATGTGTGGGATGGGAGAAAAAGAAGCCACAATGATTTCAGTATCAAGCTTTGAGGACTACCAATATGGTGAAGGTGATGGGCCGTTTACTAAGGCAGAGAGCAGAGAGAAAAGCAGGTGGTATAGGGTTGGGTGGGGAAAATGGCAAAACTGTATTCAGGAATTGCAAAATGAAAAACATCCATGAATAACCACAAAGCGATGTCTAGTAAGCAAATGGAACTTGCTGTTATTCAGTGCCATTAAGGTGAACAGGGGTCACAGCGACCCTATGAACAACAATAGATCTGAACCTTGTCCTGTGTCATCCTCATCATTTCTGACACACTTGAGCCCACTGCTGCAGTCACTATGTCAATCTATCACATTGAGAGTCTTCCCTTCTTTCACTGACCTGATCAAATTAAAACCCTGTAATTCAAAAGGTAGGGGGAATGAAACAGTTACTTAGAAGTCATAATCATATGGGTATAACAAATGAAATGAAGGAGGTAGATACAATTATCTCAAATAGATGACAGGATCCCAGGAAGTGCCCATGATTAAAGCTTGTGCAAAGGAAAAGGAGTGTGGGAGCAGAGGGGTGAGGATGGGCAGGAGACGGGGCTGGTTAATCATGGTTAATCATAGGGTCACACAATTTGCAGAGTGGAAGGAGGGGTGGGTGAAACAAATAGGAAAGATCCAGTGTGAAAAACAATGTATACAAACTTTGTAAATAAACTAGTACAATAACAATTAAAAAAATACACAAAGAATTAAAAAAGGAGCTAGAAAATACTAACGTAATAACTGTAGAAGAATGAAATAAGGAAAGGAAGTGAAGAAATGACTCAAATGTCGGCAAAAATTAAGAAAAAGGCCACACACTGGATCTAGTTATTTCTGTCCACTACTTTGACAGGTTACTATGAAGGTAAAAATGAAATTGCAGACAATTAAAGAAAGATAAGAAGTTGAAATATTTTAAATCATTTTGACAAATGAAAGATAAGACAAAGACGGGGCATAGGAAAGGAAAGTTAATGTTCAAGTGGCTATCTTTTAGCTTTGGCTTTTTCTTCTGAAAGAATAGAATGAATCCGTAGAGATCATACGGGAGAGAAAAGGAAAGAGAGAGACTCAAACTCAAATCTCACTGAGGTCAAATTGGTTCTGACTCTGCTGGCTTTCCGAGGCTATAAACTGTAATGAGAGTAGAACGATGTCAGGCTGGAGACTAAGGTGCGCCTGATCTGGGCTATAGGCTTCGCAGTTATGTGCTATGCATCAGAGAGTTGGGACAGTGAATAGGGCTGATAGAAAGAGGATTGATGCCTTTGAGCTGTGGGGCTGGAGAAGAGTGTTGAATATACCATGGACTGCTAGGAGAACAAACAGGTTTGTCCTGGAGAGAGTGAAGCCATAGTGTTCCCTGGAGTCAAGGATTCTGAAGCTTCGTCTGACATACTTTGGGCATGCTGCAAGGAGGGACTGGTTCTTGGAGAGGGACATCATGTTTGGCAGAGTGGAGGGGAAGCGAAGGAGAGGAAGACCTTTGGTGAGATGGATCAATTCTGTGACTGGAGCGGTGGGAGTAAGTGCATTTGAGATGGGTAGGTTGGCACAGGATAGAACAGCATTTAGAGCTCTTGTACATAGGGTCGCTATGAGTCGCAAGTGACTCGATGGCACATAACAACAACAACAAAAAAAAACATTTTAAAGGGAAGTATCCTCTTAAGCTAGAAAGACATTTGAGAAAGACGTGCTTATTAAGCTAAAGCCCTTCGTTGATGTTTGTCTCTCTACCCTACAATCTATAGCTGATTATTTACTTCTTTGAGTTATGACATAAGGACAATGTCAAGCTATCTCTGGAACCTTGATAAGACCATAACACAACCATAAGGCCCAAATACTGGACAAGAAATGATACTATAGAAATTTTCTTACATCACATCTTTCGGCTGTTCTATTTCTGCTATGCAAGCCCCTAAAGTCTTCAAGGTAAGAAGGAAGTTTTGGGAAACTCAAATCTCCTACTTCCTATAAACAAGTACACAGTAAGTCTGCTTTTTCCACTCCAAGATTGGTTTTGCTACAGGGAGGCGGAAGAACTATAGCTTTGTGGTTAACAAGAAGTAACAAGAGTAATGGCCCAGTTCTAAAGGTGTATGAGAGTCTCAACAAAAATAGATCCACTTTTTACCCTATGAGACATCTGCTGGGCAGAGACTGCTCAGTGCCTTTGTACTATTCTTGAGGAAATGAAAAAGCAGGGAAAAGGGAGGAAGCAACAAGTAAGAGCAACTAGGAATACAAGAGTGGCCTTCAATCTAATGGCTTCAAATTGAAAAGGTCAGTTAGACTCCCTTGAAAACCACTAAAGTCACTGCAAAATTTAGCAAGTTTTCAGTTGCTAGAAAGTGACCACTTTGCACTAAACCTTCTGAGTCTATGGCTAAATTAAGATGGCTCTGTGGATCTTAGTAAGAATTACTGAAAAATTAATTTTAAAGGAGCTCTGGTGGCCTAC